CAAGTTTGTGCCCCAGTGATAGGCGCCGGAGTTGTTTGAATCATCGCGTATTTCGCCGCGCGCGCCCAAAATCGCACGAATCGCACGTCTCCCGTGTGTTGCATGTGTGTTGTACGAGTGTGTGTTGTACGTGTACGTGGGTTATGAGTGCTGTACGTGCGCATGTCGCGTGTACGTTATATGTGTGCGTGCTGTATGCGTAAGTGTTGCATGTTTTTGTTGTGTGTGTGTTGCAAGCATGTGTTGTGCATGAGTATGTGTATGTGCAAGTGTGTATGTATGTATACCTATGTATGTGTGTAGTGTGTACGCGTATGTGTTCATGTGAATAGATGTACCAGTTGAATCGCCCGGCTAAGGCCAGGCGCCCTTCTTTCTATAAAAAATGGCTCGTCGCCTGCGTCATTTCCAAATTTGGACGCTCTGGTACAATAGAACAGGAGGTAAAAATTTTCGGCTAAACTCACGCACGCACACGCCCAACACACTTCGTGAGCGCCTAGCCGTCATGATCGCAGTTCTGCTCAGCTGATGTATGTTCGAGTAAATTGGTTCATTCTCCTCTTTTTTCAACTTAACTGCGCAAACCCATTGAAATTACGCTCATCTTCCGCACGCCTTACCCCCGCGGACAGAGACTTCTTCCTTCACCCACTGTAAGTTCCTCATCCTGTCTCCCGTACTCCCACCAAGTTTGAACGCTCTAGCCCCAAATCAACATTTTCGCGCAAGCTCTCTGGGGGCAGAGTCTGGTCATCCCACCTACCGTAGAGTTGCCATCCTGTCTGCTGTAGTCATACAAATTCGAACGCTCTCGGTCCACTGGAACGGGATGTATGAATTTTTGGTTGAACATTTGTTTCGCACAAACTCCGCCCCCTATAAGCGGAGCCCGGTCCTGCCACCCACCACAAGTGTTCCTATTCTGCCGCCTAAACTTGTACCGAGTTTGAATGCTCTAGGCCCAGTTGAACAAGAGTTATGAAGTGCTGNCCCCCCCCCCCCCTGAAGCGTTCGGATGACTGCTGACAGGGAGTGATAAAAACTGAAAGGGATTGATAAAGAGCAGTGTAAGGTAAGATCGAAAGGATCTGCTATGCTTGTCGTGATAACAGTGGAAAATTCGTTTTTCGTTCCGGTGATACGAAGTCGGGTGTAAAGAGACCGAGGTTGGTTTACAATGAAGGAGCGATGTTAACTCACGTTTGAGAAGAGGCGGTACATGGCAGCAGTTACTTAGCCTGTAACGCCCTAATAGGGACTAATAGCAATTGATACAGACTGATAAATACCACTTAATCACTTCCTCGTTTTGTGTGGCAGCGAGCACTACTAGTTCAGTGTATAATTTAGGGGCTGAGTGGACTGACGATAATGGATGGATTACAGAAAACGGTAACAGCTGATAAAGGCTGATAAGGGGTCTAAGAAGGTTGTTAATTTCTGACCCCTCGAGTATTTATGATGTATGTTGTCTTAACACCTTAATATTTTTCGCTTTGGAACTTGCGTGGGAGTTCGAGACTGGTTAGTAGATTAGGTTTCCGAACATTAACGGTGAGTAGAGCCCCCAAGAAAGAAGTCAAGACTCATCTGATTGGCCAGTAGCAAAAAAAAATCGATGCGGCAGTAGACGTATCAAAGGGAAGGATTAAATTCTTAGAGAACAACTTTGATAAAAAAAAAGGGAGACAGGTTCGAAAAAGTAAACGATAAGGGTATGCGCCACACCCTAAACTTGTGGTGCTCGCATAATTGGGGATACCCCCAGAAAATTTTGCGGACAGAAAAGAATCATTTGTTCCAAAAAGATGGATATAGTATGAGCCGCGCATTGCAACAGGATGTAGGGAACCCAGCCCAAGCCAGGCAATCCAGCTGGTAATATAGATAAATAAATATATGTATAACACATTACTGAATGAGTGGGACATCGCGAGGAACTTACACTCATTCTGTTCAAAATGTAGTCGATGGCCATTTCCTCGTTCTTGTCACAAGCCAAATAAGCCTGTAAAGAGCAGCAAGAGACAAAAATTTTTGGTAAAAACTACGAAAAGTGTGTCATGTCATTTGACCCCTCTCGCAGAGGTATGAAAAAGAGAGCCAAAAGAAAAAAGAAGTGGTACCTCAATTATTAAACCATCCGGAACTCGAAATCCCATAGACTTTATGCGCTGAATTGCTGCCGCTTCTTGCTCTGTTAAATCAATCACGTGGCGCTCACCAAAAGGGTTAGGATTTGCTGCGGGATCAGTTCCGGCCGTTGGCTGTAATTAGAAACCGATTGGGACTGACCCGACCATAATGCCAAACAATCCTATGGACAGGATTGTATTTACCGATAGACTAGCGACAACCCCGTTTTTACCTAATATAGACAATAAACAAGTTGCTACCTCATCAGTAGGTAGTTGCTCGAAATTTTTGCTAGTGTGAAGCACTTGAAATCCTGTGGTGGCTGAAGATAACATACCCACGGAAAATCGGTCTCATGAGTATATTGATCAGAGTCAAAAGAGCTTCTGATACAGATCTTAGATAATCAAAATAATAACTCTCATATGGAACATAGAGAATGAACGCAACTCTTCGAAGATTTTAACTAATCTCTACAAGAACAAAGTGAAGTCTGTAATAAATCTGGAAAACGTATGCAGATGGAACCGAAACAGAAAAGACGTGCGAGACGTAAGAAAAGGACGACTATAAGTTAAGTTGATTTACCTTTTGCATCTGTGTGTTTTCACAGCTACACGTCATCTCGATCCACTCCAGCTATCAATTAAGCTCACCATTGATATGCCACTAATACATTCCCATTTTAATCTATCGGGCCTTTCGATGCAAAACTATGTTGGAATCGATGGAAGTATGGCGCGGTTTGATGCATGTCTTGACAACCACCAGGGATATTAACGTAGACATTTCACACTTCGCAGAAATCCGATCAAACACCTATTGATGAAATGGCAATTTGTTTGCCGTTCACTACTAATGAAGTGAGTGTGATTTTTAGGAAGATGTCGAGACTGCAGTGATATCCGCAGACAAACTTACACGACAATTGACTTCTAAACGCCGTTAAGACTCTGTCTTTAGCACTCTAGATCGCGCTGTGTGTCCCTTCGTTCGAACAGGTGAATGTATGTAAGTAGCAGTAGTAGCATCTCATTTGATGGCTAGACCACTTGAGGTCTGTGTTAGTAGAACGGAGCGCCAACTGTACGCAAGCCGATGAACACATGAGAGGCTCAGAAAGTTCCACTTGAACCACCTACTTGAGCTCAGTGTCATGGTGATTTGAAGTTTTTCAAGTTTACTTCTCCAGTATCTGTCCTGGAAAGAAACTAAGACACCGAACGAAAAAACTGGAGGGGATATGGACTGCCACAAAGAGTCTGGAAACTAAGAGGGAGAAGTCGTGTGTGGATAGTCTATGACCTTGATCCCTTCTTAAATCTTCGTAAGTTCCTAATTCCATTGAGATCGAGGGAGAACGATAAGGAAATTGGCTTGCTAACTAGATGTAGAGCCTGCTTCTTGAGTGATCGATCTGGCAGAACGGCGACTGAAATCTGAATAGTTCGGGCCCACTTAGGGTTCATTTCATAATTTCGGGAGGTTCCAACCAACCAGCAGGTAAAACATGTTTATCTATTATATTATTGCGACTCTGATATTCTAAAGTTCAAACTGTGGCTCTATTCCGTCCCTACAGTTGCTGAGAGAGCTGGAAATAGCAGAAGCTGCTTTGAGCGAAAACTTATTGTAAAAGTAATGAAAGATCATCAGGTCAGAAGATCAGGTCATCTTCTTTCAAAGTGAGTGCAATCGCATAATCGAGTACGCTATGAGTTGATAGAAAGTTGAGAAAGAAATACTCAAATAGCAATGATATCACTACATTCGGAATTACATTCGTCTACCAACCCCCAGCCCCAACATGTCAGGCAATGGCACTTTTGCGCAAAACATCTTCACCATGCATAACTCGCGTCTTTCTGTCTGATACGAATTCAAGATAACCTTAAGAAGTCGGATGAGCTTCAGATGAATTGGGTCTAGTGAACGATAAGCAGAGCACCCATAAATTGCGAACGTCTGTTGCGCGCGCCCGTCGAAAGTAGTTCATCCCGCCCCCTTCGCGCGCGGCGCACTCCACTGAGGTCTCGAGATGATGTTACAGTACCACCTGTTACAGTGTTGTTGAGTGGAGCGAGTGATTTGCATTTGTCCGTGTTATCTTCTCACTGGCTGACTGTCGTGAACCAAGCGAAAACCGTATGCCCCACTGACAACTGCGACGTCTGTCAAGTATGGCGGGCTGACCTGCCGCATGCGACGGCTGCGGCGTGAC